AACCATATCTTTAGGATAGTTGCTTTGTTTATTATGTGCTTTCTATCCACCAGGAGGCAAGAACAGTCATACAGTTATGCTCGAGTTCAAACATGGAAAGAATAAATGAAAAATCCGAGAACTTTGGAGTATTAACATATTATCTCGAGTACATTTCCAGACAGGAATGATATAGGTGATGATCTATGTACACAACGCTTGAACAGGTTATCATTAGCAGGAACAGTTGTCATGATAATAAGAGGTGACATTACCAGAGCAACGTGAGTCATGTTACATAGTTCATCACTGAAAAACAGGAAAACTATTCACTTACGTTTCTTTCCATATCAGATTTACATTCATTAATTTGCTGAGAATTAGCAAAGTCAATTGGATGAATTGAATATTAATTGCCACTCGATAAGAATTCAATATTTTTTCATGTGCTATTGTTATGTTCCATTATTCACCGTCAGAGGTGGTTACGAGTTTGTCCTGAATATTTGATTACAAGAATCACAAAGAATTTTTTAACTATGCCCATTACAGTTATCAGGCGAGTTTTTAATCGAAGTCTTTTATGATATAAAATTTCCTCAATCCTTTATTGATATTAATATTTTTTAGTACTTTAGGAATGTTATTTATTAAAGCAAATATTTTTTGTTTACATTTCTCTTGTCTTTAAAAATTTAACAAAGAATATCTAGCAACATGTAAATCTTTATTGATTAAAGTCTATACATATATTTAGCCAAAGACTGTACGATATATAAGGCAGATTTCTTCCTTATTCTTCATGGTTTGCATAAAGGGTTTATGCTCCCGATACCTGCACGAATACAAATGTTGGGAGACGGGTTAATGTTGACAATGACAAGGTTTCAAGTGTGGTGTAGATAGAGGAGCTGTGACTAAAGAATGGCGTGTGTTAGAGGGAGACCTGCCACACTGTGGGGGGAGGGGGGGTGTTGTGTTGTGGTGTAGAGGGAGACCTGCCACACTGTGGGAGGGGGGTGTTGTGTTGTGGTGTAGAGGGAGACCTGCCACACTGTGGGGCGGGGTGTTGTGTTGTGGTGTAGAGGGAGACCTGCCACACTGTGGGGGGGGATGTTGTGTTTATGGCGTCAGCTGATCCTTGGTGCTGCGGCCAGGCAGGTGTTGTCAGTGTTTGGCTGCTGGTGGCGCCAGGTATAAATGTGGCGCGGATCAGATGTGACCAAATTAGTTGGTCGACTGGAGGTATTTAGCCAGTGCTCGGACGATTTGATATTTTTCCTGTAACGAGAGGTCACCTCTTTATATATGCTTGATGGTTAAGGATATTTTAAGTTCGATAAATACTTGCTTGAAGTGTACTCTGGCACCATGATGTCGGGAACAGTGAAGGAGGCAGTGTTCGATTGTTTCAGGCACCTGACAGTGGATGCAGAGTTCGTTAATGTTCCCAGCCTTAATCTAGTCATCGTTACAAAAATTTATCTGCTTTTATATCGAACATGTTTCCAAGTTACCTATTTCTTTTCAATGGACCCATAATACAAAAGTGACCATGACGTTTTCCATTTCATTACAAAATCTTGGGTGATGGTATCTTAGTAAGGTCCTTTACGTGCAATATGCGGAATTGGATGACGGTAATGTGGGGCGTGTTGAGCACTGCTTTGGCCAGTTGATCTACAAGTTCATTATGGAGTATAGTGTGTGCAATGTGTGTGCACTATAGTGTGCTCGGACCCATTGGATAGAGGTGTCATAGCCATTCAATCGATATTCAGGAAGAAGTTGAAGACATAGGTAAACAAACTCTTGCACTCTGTTGAAGAGTACGAAATTGCTTGCTATTGGAGTCACTACAGATTGTATATATCCCAACTGGTAATGTTGAGATTAATTGTCTACATAGTCGTAATATAGCTTGCTGCTTTCCCCTGATAATTCTCTTCCCTCTCCAGGAGTCTCCTGGAAATAAACTGCTCTTCAAGCTGTTTATTTCCAGGCCGTCTTCCGGGAACTTGTCCAGAGAAACAGAAATCGACTCAGTTTGGTCTCTGCCATTAGTGGAAATCAACCTTGTTTCATGAGAGCGACGTGACCCGCCCAAGTTGTGAGGAATTTTGAGCCTAGGTGACGCTGGGACTCTTATGAGAGGTGCACAAACCTGCAATGTAGGTTAAATAATTTTGCTGAAATGGTTGGTGCGTTGCTGCAGTGCAATGTGTTGTGGTGTATGTGTTGAGGGGGAGTCTGCTGGGGCATGTGGGGGATTTTACAATCTGTGTTGCTTGGTAAGTGTCAGGTTTGTTGGAGTGTTGTGTGGTGTGGGGTGGTGTGTGGGGTGGTGTGTGGGGGGTGTGGGTTAGGTGTGTGGGGATGTGGGTTAGGTGTGTGGGGGTGTGGGTTAGGTGTGTGGGGGTGTGGGTGGTGTGTGGGGGTGTGGGTTAGGTGTGGGTTAGGTGTGTGGGGTGTGGGGTGGTGTGTGGGTTAGGTGTGTGGGGTGGTGTGTGGGTTAGGTGTGTGGGGTGGTGTGTGGGTTAGGTGTGTGGGGTGGTGTGGGTTAGGTGTGTGGGGGTGTGGGTTAGGTGTGTGGGGGTGTGGGTTAGGTGTGTGGGGGTGTGGGTTAGGGATTGGGGGGTGTGGGTTAGGTGTGTGGGGGGTGTGGGTTAGGTGTGTGGGGTGGTGTGGGTTAGGTGTGTGGGGGTGTGGGTTAGGTGTGTGGGGGTGTGGGTTAGGTGTGTGGGGGTGTGGGTTAGGTGTGTGGGGGGTGTGGGTTAGGTGTGTGGGGGTGTGGGTTAGGTGTGTGGGGGGTGTGGGTTAGGTGTGTGGGGTGGGGTGTGGGGTGGTGTGTGGGAGTGTGAGGGTGGTGTGTGGGAGAGTGAGGGTGGTGTGTGGGTGTGTGTGGTGGTGTGTGGGAGTGTGAGGGTGGTGTGTGGGAGAGTGAGGGTGGTGTGTGGGTGTGTGTGGTGGTGTGTGGGAGTGTGAGGGTGGTGTGTGGGAGAGTGAGGGTGGTGTGTGGGGGTGTGGGTTAGGTGTGTGGGGGTGTGGGTTAGGTGTGTGGGGGTGTGGGTTAGGTGTGTGGGGGTGTGGGTTAGGTGTGTGGGGTGGGGTGTGGGTAAGGTGTGTGGGGGTGTGGGTTAAGTGTGAGGGTGGTGTGTGGGAGTGTGAGGGTGGTGTGTGGGAGAGTGAGGGTGGTGAGTGTGGTGGTGTGTGGGGGTGTGTGGGAGTGTGTGGTGGTGTGTGGGAGAGTGAGGGTGGTGTGTGTGGTGGTGTGTGGGAGTGTGTGGTGGTGTGTGGGGGTGGTGTGTGGGAGAGTGAGGGTGGTGTGTGTGGTGGTGTGTGGGAGTGTGTGGTGGTGTGTGGGAGTGTGAGGGTGGTGTGTGGGAGTGTGAGGGTGGTGTGTATTTGAATATTCCACATTCCATAACGTGGAATTTATTTAGTAAATTCCATCAACCCCGCAAACACACACCGAAACTACGACGTTGGTACAACGTTCTAACAAGTTTTAACACCTCCTAACCAGTTATAACAACCAATATAGCAAGTTGTAACAACGTTCTAATACGTCATAAACACGTTAAGCCAAGATGTAACAACTTTATTACAAGTTGTAACAAGCGGAAAATAGAGACAGTTTCGGTTTGTGTTTCCAGGGAAGGAAGTGTTGCCCATTACACGTATTTTTGTTTAGGTCTTCTTGATAGGCATAACAATTGTCAAAGATTCTTATCATCTGTAGTAAGCTTGGCATCAACAGCAAACATGTTCATTTAATTATGTATTCCTTCTGGTAGACTGTTGATATGTACAATAAACATTGGCAGTGCAAGAACTGAACTCTGTGGTGGTCAACTAGTAATATTTCTCCAGTCTACTTCATTGTCTCTGATTTCCGTCCTCATTTCTCTGTCAGAAAACTTTTCATCCGAGTCAGAAGTCTCCCTGTCACCCTTATAGAATGTTCCAGTTTCCAGAACAATCTCTTATGTAGGACTAAGTCAAAAGCTTTTTTTTTTTGTCTCAGATACAGTCAATCTAATCTTCTCTCTCCTGTAAAATCTTTGTGGCTATTTCATAGAAACCTAGTTGATTTGGTTTTAGTTATTTCGAAAGTGTTTTGACTATCCCACTTGTCAACGATACTGCTCTTCATTGCTTTTTGTTTTGTAGATATAACTATGTTTGCCTTTTTCTACATATCTGCCAAGACTCTAGTACAAGAAGGTCACTGAAAAATCAATGGAAGTGGGATCTTCTGCTCAGATACCCATTCTCACGGAACCCAAGGTGAAACCCCATCTGGATAAAATAAAAAGTTAACCTGCAAGTTCTCTACACAGTGAGGTAAACTGTAGGATAAAGCAGAGGGAAAAAACATATAAAAATAATTTTAATTTGATAAAAAAATTAATTTAAACAAATTACAAAACCAAATATCCAGACTTGGCTCTAATACAAAGTGTGCAAAACAAAGAAGATGACCAATCAAATTTACGTTACATTAATGTGCAAATAAAATATGGTGCGGGAATACTGTGAGCCAAACTGAATAGCTGTGTTACCACACCGGGGTGTGTCTACAGGTCTACTCAGCAGAGCACTCAGGAGTAATCTAAACCTGTAGTGGGCCAGGTAGCCTTATTTATACTCGGTGACGACCGTCCAGATGGCATTGGTTCCTTCTTTAACGATTAACCGTCTTTCTTAAACTGCTTGTTTTGGAGGGCGTGAGCTCCCAGTGACCCAGGTGTGAGGTCGGGTGACGGGCAGTGGTGTATGGGGGGGACTGGAGCTACTGTCTAGACGTCTGGTAGTAGTTGTTGTTGTTCTTGTGGCTGCAGTACTTGCATATATAGATGTGATATGGGTACAATAGGTGATGATGGAGCAGGCCGAATTTTTGTCTAGAGATTTTACCGTGACAGCTCTCCCCCGAAGCCTGCTCCTATTGCCTATTCGACTGCAGTGGAATGTAGAATAGTAGGAGTGGATGAGTCCACCCCGTGGACTCGTGAAAGTGTGGAGGCGACGATGTTGTCCGAGCCTTGGATGAAGTAGTTGGTGATGTTGAAGTTCTGCAGGAACAGGGCCCAGTGAAGCAGATGTTGGTTGGTAAACTGGGTCTGCTGCAGAAGCTGGAGAGGATGGTGCTTGAAGATGTAGAAGTAGCACTGCAGGACTCTGAAGTATGAATTTGCTGTAGAATCGAGCCTGCTGAATAGATCGACGAGGATGGTGATCCAAAGAGAGGGTGAGATTGTTCCTCTGATGCAAGACCCAGCATAGCAAGCGCTGACTGGAGAACTAGGGTAGCAGTTGGAACCGAAGAAGATTGTGATACATGATGTTCACATGGTGATGTAGGATTCAGCAAAGTTCGAAGAGCTGATAGTGACGGAGGGACCGAAGAATGTTGAAGTCCGAGGAGAGGTTGAAGTTGTAACCTAGTAGATTGGATGATTCGTTGTGTTGCACGTCGGGCAGGATGTTGAGTGGCTCCTCTCTGATGACTGTAGCTGGAGTGAATGATCCGATCTCGCTGCAGTATGTTGCTGTACCTATCGCCAGAGTGGAAGACTGAAGGTTTTCTAATTCCTGGCAGGGCGAGAATGGAGTTAGTACAAAACAAGGATTTACGCCTTTCAAATGCAATGGAAGGCAAGTTTGTCTTACAATATTTTAGCTGAGGGCTGGTAAAGTTGTCTGGAGGAGCACGTTTATTTGGATTTGGTTCGTAGAGAGAAGGATCTTTCCTGGTGTTGGAATAGATCGAGAACCATTGTAGTCAGGCCAAGTACAACGAGAAGGATTAGACAGTACCTTGGTGATGGTGGTCTTAGGTCGTTGGAGAAGATGGTATCACACTTGTTCTGACTTTCTTGGCGGTGTCCGTACTGCGGGCACTGCTTCCCGAGGTGTTTCACAACGTTAGCAGTCGTACTGTTCTAGACGGAAACTGCTGTAAAATACGTGATGGTAGAACACAAGGAATTACATAGAGGAACATTATCTGAGCTTGTCTGGGACAGAGACTCGTCATAGTTGATGGTATGGCTGAACTGCTCAGAAGACACTGGTACTTGTATCAGGGATGCCTTTAATAGAGGAGCGTTCGGCTTACTTGTCATCTGAGACATGTGACAATTTTTAACAAGGTGTTTAATATCTCGAATCATACCTGGCCAGTAGTAGTCCTGTTTCAGGGCCTTGTAAGTCTTTAAGAAGCCGTAGTGTGAGCAAGATCTCCGGACCAGACGCAAGATATCTGATCGTAGGCGGTTGGAAACTACCAGTTGTTTGATGTAGGCCCGATCGTCGTTCCCTTTCAATTTCCTGGTTCTATAATGCCGGTACAACACTTTATTTTCTACAAAGAAACCAAGGATAGAGTTAGGTTGTATCTCAGCCTGTAAGAATAAAGATGTTAATTTAGGAGGGATCCTCTGCAACTTACGGAACTCCAGCATTGTGAGATTCGGTGGGAGGCTCTGAGAGTCTTTAGGAACAGCTGCAGCAGCTGGTTCACCATAACAGACGAGCAGCTTCGTCACCATAACAGGAGGGAAGACGTCGTCAGAAACTTTTGATTGGACCTCTTCAACCAACTGCAAGATAAGGTCTTCCACTGCTGAGTCACATACCTGGGGATCTTCCATGATGGTTAAAATCGCAGGGTTGTAGATCTTCTGCCAAGTCGTTACCCAGGAGAAGTTGAACTCCTGACATGGGAAAAGGCTTTTCCCGGATGTCAACTTGGACTTCACCTTGCATAAACGGACAATACAGGCGGACTTTGGCAAGTGGATATGGATTAGTGACAGTTAGGTCCGTGATGAGGACAGTTTCTCCGGTGTAGGTGACGTTGGGTACAGCTGACTTAAGAAGAATGCATTGTAGAGCAGCTGTGTCCCTCAAGGTCTTCACTTTGAACCTTTCCTCCGAATCTCTACAACTGGCAGAGACTGTTCTGGAGTACAAGTGTCTGTTGAAGAGAGAGAGATTAGTGGATGAAACAAAAATATTCATTACAGGCTTAGGACTCTTACGAATTTTAGGAGGTGGTGATTTGGGTTTATTTTCATTGCTGACCTTACAGTGAGGATTGGCACACTTTTCTATGGTATGCCCATAGTCTTTGCAATAATTGCTATACAACAAGGAGTTCACATTACTGGTACTCATTTTTTCAGGACTAAACCAGGAGGTTTTACTAGATGGTGTGTCGGCTGGTACTCTATGAATAAGACTGTAGGAGTCAGCCAATTGAGCACATCTGGTAAGATCGTTTTCTTCCTTGTCGGCTAGGTAGAGATATATTGAAGTAGGTACACGCCTGAGGAATTCTTCCACCAGGATGAGATTGACGAGATCTGTAAAGGTGGAGACTTGTGCGGCTTCCAGCCACATCATAAAATATCGTTTTTTGTTATTAGCAAACTCAAGATAAGTGGTAGCACTTGCTTTAATGTAATCCCTGAACTTACGTCTGTTGGTCTCGATGGAGAGGAGGTAGGCATCGAGCACTGCTTGCTTCAGTACCTGGTATTCGGTTTCAGATGCTATAGTACTGAGAGTCACTGCAACTCTACCTGTGACATGAGACCTGAGAAGTACAGACCATTGATCCAAATGCTAGCTAAGTTGGGTAGCCAGAGCCTCAAATGAAGTAAAAAAGACATCTACTTCTGCCTCAACAAAAGATAACATTAACTTCATTGCATGTGAAAGGTTAAAACGTACTAGAAGGGTAGCTTCTACTTGTTGGCGCTGAGTGTGGTGTGCAGTTTCTAAGTCGAGGTCTTTCCTACGGTTGTCAAGAGCACTGGCGGCTTGTTTCTTCTCGTGTTCATGTTGTATCTCTAGCTCGCGTTCTCTGAACTCTAGCAGTTCCTGATCGCGCTCTCATTGGAAGAGAACCTGCTCACGTTGTAGGGCAGCTTGTTCCTTCTGGAAGTGGAGAGCTTCTCTCTGAAGAGTGGTTTCCCGTTCCTTCCTTTGGAGGGTTTCCTTCTCAAGGGCCGCTTGTTCCTTCAGACGTTCGCGTTTGGCATTAGCGAGTTCTAGCTTCAATTTCATGGCTGCCAAGGAGCTCTTATCTGCAATTAAGTACATTTCATGAGCCTCAGAGGTAATAGCATCATTGTCTAATAAGTGGTCCAATATGAGGTTGTGTAGATCATTTTTAGTGGCTCCATGTGGGGCCGTAAGGTTGTACTCATTTACTAGAGTCAGCATCTCCGTCTTGGTGCCACGAACTAGTGTGCCCACTTCATCGTTTTGATTCTCTCTGAATGTGGAAAGTCGAAACATGGTGAATGATAGCAAATATATGCAAGAGAATACTGAGGTGGATGTACCAAAATATGAAATGTCAGAGTGACAGGATGACGTGGCAACGGTAAACTATCCTGTTTAAACTTAATAATCAAGGTTACAATCAAGATCAAAAATTAAACTAAGTGTTTCTAGGACGTAGGGAATCTTGTACCCGGTACTCTATATGACAAGGATAAGGGTAAGACGGATCCTACTTGAATTGTGAGACAATTGTCTCTAAGGTAATCCAAAAAATGTAGGGATTTCTTACCTTGTCTCTAATGATGAGAGACAAGGTAAGAGGTTTCCTACTAAAACTAGATAGTACTTACAGAATTAACACTCCTGGTGCTCTGGAAAAGAGTGCTAACTCCCTATCTGTGTAAGTACCATATCTCAGACCGACGTGTAAGGGTGTGAAGTGTCAATTAATGAAGAGAACTGCGTGAAGTGTCAATTAATGATGAGAACTGCTTGTAGGGGTCCCAACCTTACAGCATAGTCCGTGCGAGAGGAACTTTGGCCATCTATATCCTCCTACGTTCGGGTTGCAGAGATATGGGTGTACTTGACCCGGAGACAGACCAAAGTACCAGGGTACCAAAGGGGGTGATCTGTCTGAATGAGAAGTCTCCTGTAGGGACGAGAATAAGGTAGAAATCACAGGATATAACAAAGATTATTAATGACCAATCACGAGTATGACTGTGGCCACATGACTCTACGTAATCCAAAGTCATCCAATAATCATATAATGCTACATCTGGAAAGCAAACAGTATGAAGCACAATTAAAATTAGTCAAAGAATAAGTTCTGAAAAATTAAATCTGTAATAAAGCCAAGCACAGTTATCACAACTTTAAGTGAAGGGTCTAAAAGCATTACCTGAGCGAGGCTCCTGGAACAGGCCCCGAATTATGTGATGAGAAAAATAGGTGGTATTGCAGCTTCTCTAGGCAGATGGAATGCCTGTCACACAAAAGCAAATAGTAAAAAAAGGAAAAAAATAAGCTAAACTGCAAGTTGTCTTCACGGTGAGGTAAACTGTAGGATAAAGCAGAGAGAAAAAACATTTAATAATACTTTACCTTGATAAAAAAAAAGAAACTAAACAAATTACAAAACAAAATATCGAGGCTTGGCTCTAGTACAAAGTGTACAAAACAAACAAGATGAACGATCAAATTTACGTTACGTTAATGTGCAAATAAAATATGGTGCGGGAATACTGCGAGTCAAACTGAATAACTATGTTACCACACCGGGGTGTGTCTACAGGTCTACTCAGCAGAGTACTCAGGAGTAATCTGAATCTGCAGTAGGCTAGATAGCCTTATTTATACACAGCGACGGCCGTCCAGATGGCGCTGGTTCCTTCTTTAACTATTAACCGGCTCTCTTACACTGCTGTTTCGGATGGCGTCAGCTCCCAGCGACCCAGGTGCGAGGTGGAATGACGGGCAGAGGTGTATGGGGTGGGACTGGAGCTACTGTCAAAACGTCTGGAAAGTAGTTGTTGTTGTTCTTGTGACTGCAGTACTTGCATATATAGACGTGATATGGGTAGAATTGGTGATAGATGATTGGTGAGCAGCCCGAATCTCTTCCTAGAGATTTTACCGTGATAATATATACATATATATATATATATATATATATATATATATATATATATATATATATATATATATATGAAAAAAAAAAAAAAAAAAAAGCCGCGGGCTGAGACGGAAACGAGGCTGTAGACTTGGTGACTGACTTTACAGTGTTCTGCTTTTTAGACGCTGGCAGTGATTTGATTTGATTTGATAAAAAAAAAAATTGAAGACTGGTAGACACCTTTTAAGATGTAAAAACTGAAAACTAACTATAAAA